TTAGCCCAATAGTGGATATGACTTTATCGTAAAACTATGCACCACGTGATAAGACTAACTGATAAGCTATATAAGGCATAACCACTCAATTCAGTTAAATTACTGAATACATGAAAGGGTTTTTTCATTACCAATAGTCAGTAAGTCACATTGACATGCAGCATATTAAATTAGAACAATAATGTAAGGTACAAAGGCATTAAAAACATAAAAATCCTATTCGTTCCGAATATTTAATTTTACTCGATAAATGTTTTGACAGAATGGTTTCAACAAGTCTGAATTTACTGTCAGCTTTGAAGACATGGATACAAGTGAATTAAACAAGTGTCTATCAAAGTTTTACGTGTCCATAAGGAAGAAAGATGGCAATTATTACAAGAAGACGACTTTGCTGTCAATCCGAGCGGCCCTCGACCGCCATCTTCAATCCCCGCCACATAACATTTTACGAAAATGCAGTAGTTCTTTTTTCTCTATTTTTATGAATATTCACTCAGGCTCAGTGATTATCAATGAATATTTACCTAACGGCTCGCGGAATCGCCGCTCGGTAAATATTCGTTGATAATCACTTCGCCTTCGGCGAATAATTGTTAAATATTCCAAAAACTCATACATAATTAATGAGTTATTAGGCCAATAGAATAAGCCTATTTGTTCACAAGCATGGTCCTTTGTATCTGATAAAACACTCCTTATAACTATTCTTTATATATAGAATATTAATAAGGGTGACCTTTCTCAGATATAAAGGTCCATGACCCTAGCAAAGGTCTAAGGTTTGATACCTGCTCATAGACCAATACAGGACATCAACCAATTGCAGTAGAACAGCCAACAGTCTTCTATTTTACTTTATGCGTATTCGATGTGGGATTACAAGAGTGCTTTTTAAAGTGATTCGCGCATGATCAGTTTGCCCTATTTATCTCAAACCTTATTTTTACGGAAATTTCTCCAAGAATTTTAAAGGATTTGAATTTCACATTTGTGTTGGAGTTTTTGAGGCCGTTTAATTAAAACACTCGAGATCGTGTTTTATCAGATATAAAGAATCGAGTCCTCTTTCGTGTTTTAAACTATACATAAAAAATACTATGTACTTATTGACTGAGTGGGAGGGCCGTACGGGAAAATATTTGGCTCGAGGTTATGTCGTACGGTACGAGCGCAGCGAGGTCCGTACAAATGACCGAGAGCAAAATGTTTTCCCGTACGGCCCGACCTAACTCAGTCAATAAGCATTTTATCATATGACAGCGTTTTTTAATCTAAAAAAAAAAAAATAAAAGCGCGCGGAACGTGAAGCCGGAAATATACGGCTTTGTACGGCCCTGTCGCGAAAAGGCGTACGGCCCCCATCACGTGACCATTTCCCAAAGGTTTTTTAAGAGCTCGCGTGGGGCCGAAATACGGGTCATATGATAAATTTGAACAACAAATAAGGCCTCTTTCACACAGCTAATGACGGGTAAAGTGTTCGGCAAGTCGCACGATATTTGACACTAGAGAGTAAAGTCCAAGAGAACACATCGTGTCCAGGTCACGTTGAGTGTATAGGATCTTGTCGTGGAATATATTTTTTCAGTGCCGTGAAAAAAATAAAAAATAAATAAAAATAACGTCGCTGCAAGGCCTTCACCCTTGACACGGTTATAAGAATACATGTGGTGTGTATGTCTCCTCTCTCTGAAAATGCACAATACACAAGGAATAGCCATGAGAGGATGCGGCATCGATTTTGTTTATATTTTGTCCGCCCTCCTCCCTCTTCTGATGAATATTTTGACAGAAAATTGGTGTCAAAAACCCTCAATATGCTGGAAAAAGCATTTTCACAAGATATAAATTTCAAAATTTGTGCAGAGGAACAAGATCCCGGACCCCCGCCAGTCGATGGATATCGGACTTCATACACGACTCTCATTAAATGGCCGATACTAATTATTATCTCTCAATTCATAATATTGACAAAAGAGAACACCGAGTTGGTAGATATCAAAGTCAAAGATAAACTCTGAAAGTTTCACAGAAAAATATTTAATCCTCTTGAAGTTATAAGGGTTAGAAGATGTACAAAAACACCAAAACGAGGCTACTTAGTCACCACATTTTTATTATTTAGTTTTCCATGAATACCTATTTCTAATAGTTCTTCCAGTGACAGTGCTGAATGTTTCCATAATATTATAAATTGTATAAAATTGATGTTGGGCATTTATGAAAGTGGTCTCATGGTCCCCTTTGTAAATAGCTGGATCCAACCCCAAAAAGTACTCTTTCTTGGTAATGGCATATTGTACACGACTGTCCAYTCCTAATCTTATTGGTTTACGACCTTTTTACTACAATATTTAGATATTTTAAATGGTTTTAAATGGCATATTTGACTGTACAAATCAAAGACGTTAGATTTAGAGTCGATTTTAATTGTAAAATTAACCACGAAACATCGAGTATCGGTACAATATTTTTACTCTTTGTTATGGTAATAATACGTTAGAAAGTTAAAGCCAAATATTCACGACTTTCCATACCAGYGAGAGGCAAATCATCAAGGTACGCCTACCCTGCGAACAGAGTGTATTTTACCTTACCTCAATAAAAATTCGTGAATTTCCTTCGCGAACTTTTTTTACTGAGGTAAGGTAAATAACACTCTGTTCGCAGGGTAGGTACGCCAAGTATTAAGAACTCATTTACACGCTTCTAATTCTAGTTTGCTAAAGCATTTTTCTTCGATTGATTCCCGTACTAGTGCCATGGTCCACTGGAATCACTTTCGGTCCACGACGCTTTTTATTTGAAAATCAATTAAATTATATACCATAATATAAACAAAAACTTACCCTTTATTATCCTTTAATACTATATGGAGATGTTATAAAGAAAAAAATCTACAAGGCAACCGCATTGGACCATGGCCGTACAGTGGCTCTAGAATGCTTCATTCTTATACCAGTGCCTTACAGTCCTGGTTTTAGCGAAGCAAGAGCCATTACAGCCATTACCGAAATAATTTTGTTTTAAGTTCCCTCTTACTTAAGAGAGAAAGCGATGCCTGAAGAGGGTTAAACAAAAATTGGAGCCTTAMAATTAAATTAATAGCTTATTTATAGCTCATGCTTTAACTTATATGTAGAAATAAAATACATTTGAATGGCAATTTGGGCATTGACTTAAAGGCATTGTYAACTTCAAAATGTTGTCAAACTAAACTGATCATTATAAAGAAAATCGATGTTTCATGATTTCGACTAAGGAAAATCGCTCTTCCGACACACTTTCCCTCTTCGAATTCTCATAACCAATTAACCGATGGAGCGATTAGAGATTAAGCTGATTGTTACAAAGTATGCAATAAATGAAACGGCAGTCCTTGAAACAAACGCAAATTAAAATTTTTCTAGTTTCAAATCGTACACGTCTCGAAATTGGRCAGCTCTTGAAATGCGGATGATTGCAGGAAAATTAACATTGTCCAAAAAACACGTTTAAGATTCAACAGCAGTTTGAATAAAACACACACAAACAACCAAATCACATTTCACCAATTTAGAAAAAAAAAACAAAAAACAACACAGATCTACTAGAATACGTTAAGCGTCTATTCAAGTAAATTTAAGGGAAGTGTTAATCCTATCCAGGTTTCCATCCACACCAGCCTATCAATTAGGTACAAAAAATACTTCCAGCATCTTTCTACAGGTTCCAGCATCTTTTTACAGGTCTGTAGCATATTCAAATTTAAACATTAGGAGGGCRAGTCCGTTTAAACGACAACAGCAGTATCTCCTCGCACTTTCCCAATAGTTGGCACGCTACCATTTGAATGAGAAGTGATATTAGAATAGGCACTTTCGGAAGTAGTTCTTAGCTGTTTGCGTACTTCAAAGACCTAAAGAAAACGATAAGACTGAAAAACGGTAACAAACAAAACGGGAAAGGAGGAATCTGGCTCAACACGTCGCTTGGCAATTTCTCGAGGTTTAGTCAAGAGAAACGCGGKCTAGASCGAGATTGACAAGAGAACATACAGAAAGTAGTATAGTGAAATTAACATTAAGGTAATAGGGTAGGAATTGCGATGATTTAGGACTTCTTCGACGGGAATACATGCCATAAATGCCATTAAATATTATAAAATAAATAAATTCAAAAAGAAACAGATTTATTAAAGATGGTGAATTTTAGACCCACTCGATTTACATTTTTGCACAAAATCGTATTTTTTCCTTCTTCTTCTTTGTGTGGTTAAAAGACTTGAAGAATTTGAGATGAGTTTATATCTACCTCTGAAATGGCTTGGCGGAAGCAGTGAAAGTTGTAATCAATAAGCCCTGTAATAAATAAAAATATTCATCACATATTTATAAAAATTCCTAATCCAAAGCCAGTTTAGTGCTTCCGTTGCTAAGTCTGAACAACGGAAAACAAGCGGAAAAATACTAGTAAATTTGATGTTTATTCAAGACTTTCAAAGCTTAAAGTTGTATTGYTTTATTTCCCTTAAACTTTTAATGGATAAGAAAACAATTACACCAACAGGAACAACTTTCTGCCTATGTCAACCACAATTCGCATAGAATGGGAGCATTGTCATAGCAACAACATTGTAGTAAGCCACCTGATAAATCGCAGAAAAATACAGAAAACATTACCTTTTCTTACAAAGTTGTCTTCTCGTAAGATACAGACCAAAGCTAGAAATCTATTCATAAAACTATGCCCATTAAATCATGTCAATCACACACCAGAATAAATGCATTATCGACTAACCTATTCACTTCTCTTAGATACAATATGGTGTTGTTGTTTAGTTTTATAACTGAGGATGTTTCCACATCATATGCGCTACCATCTCCCTCTTCGCGTAACCTGAGTATAAAACAGCAAAGTGTCATTGTATAATAAGGATTTACATTTCTATTTGTGGCACTCATTCAATTCGATATCTCGTTTAATCTAACAATACTTACCCATATATACATGAAATATCAATAACCACATCAATCATGTCACAGCATAATTCATAAGACTGCATATCTACAGGAGAACTACAAAAACAAATGATTTCTCACATGAACTAGGCATGAAATAGCAAAACAATTAGAGTGCACGTAACATAAGCATGAAACAATAGATGAGGTGACGGTTTTGTCCGCCATTTTGGACCGGTAGGCATAGTGTCGCAAAATAACAAGGAATGACCGGGAAATCGATGTCAAATAATTCTCGCTGAATTCAAATTCAGAAAGAATTATCATTTGCAAACGTTAGATACTGCAAAAAGGAGTTAACTGGCCAAATTTGAAAGGCGTACTTGATCTAGAGAGCGAGTAAACTCATTTTTAGTTCTCCATACATTTCTTTGTAATTTCAATACATTTCGTTATNTATTTTTTTCTAAGTGTTTGAATAATCTCATTGAAACACTTTGAATGAATAGAGAACAGTTGTACACATTGGTTCTGACCAAACTGAGCACTCGTAAGACTGAAGGGGGTCATCTGTGTATCTGCATGCATGTGCTGGGGCAGATCCAGGGGAGCAACCTCGTTCCCAGGGCCATCACGGACTCCACAAAATGGCCGGTCGTCCAGCGATGACCCTGGCAAACATTGAACTAAGGCRCTTTGTGATTGGCTGATAAAGAYGTCATTCTTATACCGCTTGCCATTGGATGTTTATTTYTAAGATATGTTCGGCTATCAATCGGGGTTTGTTCGACCARATTCGACCGTTATTTTGAATGCGTCCAATTTTCCGAAGAGTTTGATGTCCGTTTTATYGATCAAAAGGCAATAATACTGCTTCAAATTCACGTCAGTTGTCYTTTTGTGTGTTCTTTATCTCATGCATGCTTTTGAGAAGCCAGCCGAAGGTGTAAGTAATTAAACCCGGCCGATATATTTACTGTATTTTAGCGAAAGCATTGATGTTTTGAAAGTCTTCTACTCTGCGCTTTAATCTACAGCCGCATTCTCTTTCCAAGAACCCCTGAGGACTTCTAGAATGAACTGAAACTACTCCTTTTACTTATATTGCCGATTGAATGGAAATTATGAAATAAACAATTAAGTTAAAATGTTTTTGTTCAGTCAGATAAACAAAATGTCGACCCACCACAGCTAGCCCGATTAAAAACGTTTGGTTTACGTTGCGAACACATTTTTGAATAGATATCCACGTGATCAAATAGTCCATGTATCGTGGACTATTTGATCACGTGATAATCAATGTTTGCCAGGGTCATCGCTGGACGACCGGCCATTTTGTGGAGTCCGTGATGGCCCTGGGAACGAGGTTGCCAGGGGAGGTGCTTTGGGTGCCAACGCATCCCCCCTTTTTGGACAATGTACTTTATATATATATCAGTATTTAAACATGTTTTCTCAGCTGTTTATATTCCCCTGTTGTACTTTTATCAAGAAAACGAGTAGCATACAAAACACGTGCCTGCCACTATGCTGCTTAAACAATCTATT